AAGGGTAAAACAACAGGTCCTCTTAATTAACTGTACACTATGTCCCCCCCCCCACCCCCCTCAAACTCACCACTGCTTAAATCAAATGCGAGAGAGGACATCCCTGTCTGATCTCCAAATTGCTCTGGTTGAAGCCTCCATTTGGCTAAGGAGCCACCTTTCCTCCAACAAGTCAGCACTGGTGATTGTGCACACACACATGCCCCTCCATATCTGTAAATGCCAGGTATTTGAGCCCCATGATTTATTGCGATCTCACATCTGAACCTCTGAAATGACTTTTCCTCTCACTTTTTTTGTAACAACAAAGTGAACTGTGATTATGGTCAATCACCCTGGGTCTAATTTTGTTGTTATGTTTAAAACATTTTGGTAGGTGTCCCTGATGCCAGTAGCACCCAATTGGTTTCAATTTGCCAGTTTTCTAGTGCTATATGAAAAAATGAAGACAAACCCTTTTATGTCTATGGACAAGAATCGTTCTATCGTCAGACACAATTGAAGCACTTCCTATTGTGTTCTGCAAAGTCTTTCTAGAAATGCGGAGGACCTGGTTTAATACGCACCATGTGACACGATTATGCGAGGTGGGAAGTTCACTGCAGAAGGCTCACTCGGTGTCAAGTCTTAAGTGATTAGGTGGGGCTTATGCTCTTGGACAGGTGCAGCTTGGCAGTTCATGGACCAGTTTTCAAAAGCGTCCACCGGCTAGGCGATCCTCCCTATTCTCTGATCTTTTTAATCCTTCTTGATGCGACAAATGTCATAATTGGCTTCTGCTTCATCTCTACTGCACATACCAAACGGGTTTGAAGTCCTTCAGAGATGACATGATGAAATGCAGGTAGCACCGGTGAATGATGAGGTCTTTAAAGGCTTGTCAATGTATGAGAGAGAAGCTTATTTCTAAGACTATAGGTGGCCTTAGAGTGACACAGTCATTATTGGGTAGGTTGAAGAACCTTAGGACTGTGGGGAGCAGGAGGTTGTGGTAGGTACCCTTGGTTGACTGATCGGCTATGGGGCTATATTGAATATGGCCGGTCACTCTTCTTTTTTTCCTCTTTACATAATCTAGGACTAAAGAGTGCATCATGATTTTATGTCCATTATGTGCCTTTATACAAGAACTTTCTCCAGTCAATGTTATTGCAGTGTACCATCGCATCCAATTGAAACTACTGCAAACACCCTGGAGAAAATCAGCATATACTGTATATTGTTTTTACCCCATATATGCTTATAATGGCAGCTTCCTTGGTCACCTTTCCCCTCCCCAACCTGCTAATTTGACAATAAAGTACAGCACCCCACTGATGAGGTTTCTGTGCTCCCACCTCTTGTTAGTGAATTCCCTATGTTAGATTGACAGCACCATGCCCTGCAACAGTCTTGAACAGTTCAAAGTTCTCCCCTGCCTTTCCCCAACTGGGTCCTGGTGGTCAATGGTAAGCCTAAAGCTGGCCGTCCACCTATAGATTATCTGCAGGTTTTCTCTGGTCAGATGGAACAAGTGCCACAGATTCCTCTATCTACGCTAAACTGTGTGGGTGGAGGAATCTCCCGCTGGGCCAAGCTTCAGTATCTTGCTAGTCGGCTCTCTAAACACCTGAACAATCTGATTGGATGCAGGCACTGGTCAGGTATTTTGACAGCCAGCGGGGCCGACTAGCAAGATTCTGAAGCTTGGCCAAGCGGGAGATTCCTCCATCGACACAGTTTAGCGTAGATGGCGGAATCTGTTGCACCTTTTCCATCTGACCACAGAAAACCTGCAGATAATCTATAGGTGTATGGCCGGCTTTAGGGTTGTAGTAAGCTAATACAAACACACATTTTAGGTATTTATACTATGCTGAAAATACTTGATGATTGCATACCCAGCCTTCAAATGGTTGTGTGGAGCTACTCTAATTTCTCCTTGAAAACTATTCTTGAGACTTATAGTTTTTACTATTTTTTTATGTCTTTGTTTTTTGTCTTTGTTATCTGATCCCAGATGTAGAGCTGGTGACTAAAAGGTGAATTTACAGCTAAATATCTCCCCTTTCCTCTCTTACGTCATAAATAATGTTGTCTAATGGCGCAGAAGCATGAGCCCCTTTTTTTGGTTTCTTAAAAATACATTACTGACATAGTGTTCACAGGAATACATATGTTCAGTAACAATTATGAACTCCATCTTGAAACATTTTAAACCTGTCACCCTGATGTACTCTATATTTGATTGATAACTGCAAAATATACATCTAATGGGGGTGGTAAAACTGCTCTCAAAATAGTATTTATAGTTTATAGGTGTGACGTGACTGACACCTGAACATACGGCAAACCTTAAGCAAAATTGTATCCAGGGGAACAGAGAAATGGAGCTGGGAGTCGGCGTTGAACAGGAATCATCTGCCGTTTGCATGTTTAGAATAAATATACTGAATTGTATTTTATATTTTACAGAAAGGGCAAAGTGTCTAATTGGTAAACTCAAGTTTGTACCATATTTGTTTTTATTATTTCGATAAGTTTCCTTTTTTTGTTGTTAAATCCGGACATTTTGTTGCTCTTTAGAACAGCTTGATTCAGTGCTAGCAACCATAAAATCATTACTGTTAGGCTAGGTTCACATCTGGGTGATCCGTGACCGTGCGGCAATCGTGCACAAAACCGCGCGAATGGTCAGGTAGTTACAGAGTCGACCACCACAGCCGATTGCACTGGCGGTGCCATTATTTTCTAATGGCACCTTAGTCGCACCGGGCAGATCGCGTGGTTTTCCGCCTGTGCAATTGAACACGATCGCAGCATTGTGTGTTGCAAAAAAAAGATACTTGTAATCAATGAGGCCACGCGGCAATCGTTTTGTGCACTTGAACACGATCACTTTGTCCCGGGGATCGCTGAGATATGAACCTAGCCTACTGTTTCAAAAAAAAATTCACACAAGGACATGTGCTGAGGGGAGCATTAAGGAGATGGTAAATCTATAGAGTGCATTTCGGCATCCTTTTAGATGTGCATGCCCCTTATTTATCCTTTAGACTAGGGAATGCATATTTAAAGTCGAAGTGGGGTGAATACAAATACTACACTCCTAAAACTGGTTACGTTTAGCAGCAGAGGAGTATGCATTTATTTATTTTTTATGCGCTGCAGTTCATGCATAGTGCACAAAAAAAAGTGAAGCGTGAAATCACACCACACAAAAAAAGTGCATGAGGGAGCCGTGGTCCTCCTCTGAAGAGGAAAGGCCTTGAATCCCTCAACTCTCCTTGGGGTCTGAGGCTCCTGACAGGGCCAAGGTACCCTGCTCCACCTAGGCTGAAACCAGGAGCCTTTGGGACCAGCTGATGCCATTCCACCAAATACTGTGGAGAGCTGTCCCAAAGAGAGAGACCCCCCACCTCTCCCGATGAAAGGACCCAAAGGCCAAAGAACCTCTCCCTATGCATCAGGATGAGACCTGTGGAACACACACACCTGTCATCAATCTGTGGGGTGAAAAGGTTATTGTGAAGAAAAACCCATCACCTAGTGTCATTGCCACACAGTGGGGTCCCAAACCTATAGTGTTTTTTTTCTAGCACCCCTGGGTGGACAGCACGTTTCTCTGGGCTTCTTGACACTTTAAGGGTAGCCAACAGCCTTACAACTGGGGACAAGTCTGGTGCCCCAGGCCAGAAGCAAACCCCTAAGAAGAAAGGTGACCCCCTCCTCCCACCTATTACTTAGGAATATATAAATAGATACACTTGACTTTACCCAAAACCCCAAATGTATATTAATTCAACCATCTCTAAGAAAAGAAAGCACCTTGTCCCCATGCCGAAGAGGACAATGACCTTTCCCCCACAACCCTGGTGGTTATGGGGGGTGGGGTCTGCAGGCAGTGGGGCTCATGTGCATCTGGGTACCGCTTTCATAAAGGGGGCACCCAGATGCTGCCCCTCCACCTTGTGAATGAGTAAGGGGTAGTTGTTACCCCTACTCATTCACCAAATAGTTAAGTAAAAAGTAAATAAACACACCACACCGTGAATAAATTCCTTTAATTGAATAAAAAAACACAACGTTTTTGACAATTCCTTTATTATGAAAATAAATAAAACAATCATCCAATGATGTAATACAATGCCAATCACGATGAATGATGGCCGCCGACTCGCACCGAACTCCTGCTACAAATGGCAGCTCACTGTCCTCAAATGGCATGTAAACAAACAGGTGGCACGACTCCCCGGGATTCTACTTTTAACAACTAGCGGGGTTTCGGCTCCCCTTTGGCTGTTCAGTGAATAACCCCCTAAGGGACTAGTGGACGGTTCTTTCCCTTCCGAACTTGAAGGTGTGCTGCTCCACACATATTGGGGCAGTAAAGTTTTTAAATAGGAACCATGTGCTCTACAGTGTCTGGCACCCACTGTATGGTCACATGTGCAGAACGAACTGGAACTATCCAAAATGTGTCCTCTCCTCTACTACCTGGTACCTGGTGCTTCTGGGTGACAGCACAGCTCAGGGGAGATGAAGTCAGGTGTGCTGCAGTGCACATGTGCTAACAAGGAGCATGCCTGCACTGTCCAAGGGGAGGAACAGACCTGTAAGGGTTGAGGGGAGGAACAAGACCTGTAAGTGTTGAGGGGAGGAACAAGACCTGTAAGGGTTGAGGGGAGGAACAAGACCTGTAAGTGTTGAGGGGAGGAACAAGACCTGTAAGGGTTGAGGGGAGGAACAAGACCTGTAAGGGTTACTTAACTGCAGCAGAGAATAATCAGGTCTACAGGGATGTGTTCTGTGCCAGTGCTGTGTAAATCTCAGGACTGCATGGGCAGCAATACAAATCCTTTGGCAGATAAAACAGCTTTCCTCTATGTATGTCTTCGGCGCATTTAGCCATTTTCCTGCCGTTCAGCTTGAAGCTGTGGTCCCGTCTCATAAACTCTCCATAATGATATAATTATATGTGTCTGCTACAACCTTGTCACACTTTTCCTTTTCTGTTTCAGCATTCCAGCCACAGCGACTTGAGGAGTTTACGGAAAGGCTTATCGCCGTACCACTCGGAATCCCAGCTGTCATCGCTCTCCCCGTACCAGGAGAATGTAAGGAAACCCTCTGCTGACTCTTAATTTACTTGGTGACATGTATATGTATTGCAGGAAGGACAGGTCCCCATTCCCCCTCCATCAGGATGAATATTTATAAGAGGTAGACAATGAAATGGGATTTATGCCCCCTAATAGCGGACGTCATGAATATGTATAGCGCCAGATCCCCGAGGATTCCCAGAAATTGCTGCTGAAGAATTTATACAATATAATCTGCTTTATTGTCCGGCCTGTCTGCCTCTGACAAGCCATTCCCATCCGTGATAAGGTGCAGAAGGAAGATGGAATTTACTCAGAGGAAGCGACACGCTCATACAGACGAGATGAGGGAAATTTTATGTCACAGCTTTGTGTGTTTGTGATGGTGACAAAACCCAGCGTCTGAAGAACCTTCACAATCCAGCATCCGTTGTTGCCTTCCCCACTATGTAATTATGCGTTTTACAGCAGAGTTATTACACTGAATCATTTTGTAATAGTCTGGGTAGGCCCGTGGCGTGGCTCTGAGCAGTGCATATAAAAAAGACCTATGAAGGGATTTATGCTTACTAAAAAAAAATATCCTAACAACAGAGTACGGATAGGAAATTGCTGTGCGCTGTTGTGGGCTAATGGGATGGAAGGAGCAATGTTTATTAATGATGCAACAGCACCCCGAGTGGTCAGCACTGAAATTGCAATTATTTAAAAAAGAAATTAAAGTGACACTAGACTCCGGAGTTAAGGAGAACTATGGGGTTAATGATTTTCCCCATAGTTCTCCGAAGGTGTCCTCCCGTCAGCCAAAGCTCAGTATACTGCAAAAAGCTGCAGCTCGCGGTATACTGAGACGCCGCAGCTGAGACGGATCCCGCCAATTATGTCTGTATGCGCCCAGCTGTGCGAGTGACAGAGCCAGCTGTACCCGCCCCCTTCCCCATCTGTTCCACCAGTTAGCACTAGAGGATCGGACAGGGGAGGGGGGAATCCTGTCACGGCTCACCCGCAGTGACAGGATCGAGAAGTGAGCGAGCGCAGGTATGTGTTCGCTCACTTCCCAATCTACTGAGCCTGTGACAATTTCATTATCACAGGTCGGCTCAGATTATGAGGCTGAGTGCCAAGCACTCACCTCATAATTCTCCTTTAAATCTTAACAATACATTCAAGAACGTAAACTATTAACAACAATGAAGGGAATTTATCAAAACTGGAGCAGACAAAATCTGGAGCAGCTGTGAATGCCAACCAATCAGCTTCTCTCTTTCATTTTCAAATCTTAACTGAAGAGAGAAGCTGATTGGTTGTCATGAACAGCTGCTCCAGATTTTGTCCCATGATAGACTACTCATTTTGTATTGAGATTGTAGTCCATCACAGGAGTGATCTAATGTAGCCACCCTCCAGAAGGAAGGACAGTGTCGGCACCAATTCAGAGATGATTTGAGGATCTACAGCCGAGTGATACACAAATAAGACACATTTTTGTTAATAGTTAAAAGGTACCTGAATGTATTTCTAAGATTTAACTCCTGAATATGCCCAAATTTTAGGCGTACAGCCCCCGTGTGCCCGAGTGCATAAGGCTTTGAAGGCCGTACAGTGTAAGAGTCAGAAGTTCCCATGACTTGCTATAATGTTAATTTCTAAATGTCACGTTATTTTTCTTCAGCACAGAACTGATACAATGTAATCTTGAACTGGTAAATGTGTTCCATCTCACAATGTGTTCAAGGACTTCCTGGCAGTTGTGGGAGGGGGGTGAACCCTGAAGCTGACGCTGTGAGCTGAATAAAGTGTGCCATTGTGCCAGTGATTGGTAGGACACAATATATGGTGACACCAAGACATCCTTTATTCACACCTATAAAATGTTTCTTTGATGCGCCTTCCATTACAAATCAATGAAAATGCATCAAAACCCATGCAATAAGACGCACATCAACACATCATGACCCATGTTAACGTGTTTTGATGCGGTTCCATTCATTTAAAGTGACATTAAACCCTCAGATTTTTTAACATAAACCAATACTGTAATGTGCGTCTTACTGTAATCCATGGTTGTTTCCCTTCTCTTTGCTGCTCTTCCTTTTAAATCTGTATCTGTTCTCATGCTTGGAGAGAACTTCCCTTTTCAGCTCAGGGCCTCTTCCTGTAGTGCTGGCTCAGGTTACAGCCTATACAAACATATACACAGACACGTTTGAGACAAGGCAGTCTGCTGAAAAGGGAAGTTCTCTCCAAGCATGAGAACAGATACAGATTTAAAAGGAAGAGCAGCAAAGGGAAGGGAAACTACCATGGATTACAGTCACTTTAAATTGAAATTGAATCAGAGGGACAGATGCATATAAAATCCGCATTGATTTCCTTTCCATCTCTCGCCATTCAGTCACATAGCACGACTTCCAGGGGGGTGGAATAACAAATCTACTGACAGGATCGACCGGTAATAAAACTATGGTAAAAGGGTGGGTCAGAAAAAACCCAAAAACTGCAGTGATAATGCTAGTGACAGATAGATCATGCAGATATATATAATTTTTTTACTATGGCCGGAGTTCCACTTTAAACATTCAGGAGTAGAGTGAAGGTGAGTAATGTGGGAGTTGGAAACAGAAGAGAGCGATAATCCCTTTAATGTTACTGAGACTAGAGCACATCTGTTTCCCAAAGATCCTTCACTGCATGAAATGGTATTGTCTGTACAAACATCTGGCAGGGAGACTATTCTCCTCTCTCTGGCTCCAGACAAGCTTTGTAACTCCCCAGCTGATACAATGCAAGTCTGTGTCCTAAGAATGAATGGCAGACATCCTATGATGGGCTTTACTATCCAATCACATCATTTCCAGGGACACTTGGCTGCTACGCTCGTGTATTTCAAGCTGAACTCCGGCTTTCCTTTCAGTCTTGCACAGTTGTGCCGGCTCCTCTCCTGGACTGAACCTGCTTACTGCACTCTGTGAGCTTCTCACAATGTACATTACAAGTTGCTGCAAGCTAGACAGAGCCCGTCTCATTTCCTGGCTGGAGGATGTCCAGCAACATCTAGTACCTTCCTCCCCAGCCTGACTGTCCCTGGCCCGCCCCCTTTCATTTATTGTGCTTCAGTTCTTTCAGTCATGGAGGCTCAGCTTCACGTGTGGGTTTTATGTAGGGCAGCCATACAAATGCAGCCGTCAATGAAATGGGCAGCCTCAAGGCAGTGCACATTAACATGCACAAAACAACAAAAACGCAGTCATGCCAAGGACTGAATGGGCCCTAAAAAAAAAAAAGTCAAGCCAAGGTGATGCACACAGGCAATTATTGCCCAGGAGGAGGTCCAGAAACATGGAGAGGGGTTGTTTTTGCAACGTACCTGCTGGCCCATAGAACATACTGTAGGTGAAAGGAGTCACATGGATGGTCTGATTTGTCAATACAAAGTAAGGAAAAATAAGATGTACCTGTAAAGGGTAAAAAATAAATTATACATAACACACAGAGACTCATCCTCAATACTGGACTGTGGGAGCCACAATGATAATATTCTAATAGAGACTCATCCCCGATACTGGACTGTGGGAGCCACAATGCTAATATTCTAATAGAGACTCATCCTCAATACTGGACTGTGGGAGCCACAATTATAATATTCTAATAGAGACTCATCCCCGATACTGGACTGTGGGAGCCACAATGCTAATATTTTAATAGAGACTCATCCCCGATACTGGACTGTGGGAGCCACATTGGTGATATTCGAATAGAGACTCATCCCCGATACTGGACTGTGGGAGCCACAATGCTAATATTCTAATAGAGACTCATCCCCGATACTGGTCTGTGGGAGCCACATTGGTGATATTCGAATAGAGACTCATTCCCTATATTGGACTGTGGGAGCCACAATGGTAATATTCTTATAGAGACTCATCCCCAATACTGGACTGTGGGAGCCACAATGGTGATATTCGAATAGAGACTCATCCCCGATACTGGTTGGTGGGATTCTGGAAGGTACCCATGGGCCTGTTCTCATGCGGCTATTGTTAATTGGTTCATATACTCAGCAGCAAGCATGGTGGTTATTGTGTTTTTACGCTGCGTTGCGAGCTGTACATTACGAGCTCTGCCTTGGGGCTTCCCTGAGTTGGCCGGCGGCATCTTCCACTGCTGGATGGGAGCCTCGGCTGTGACAGATAACCGGCATCTTGACAGGTTCCTTTTAGTGCGAGGTTTATTTTGGCTCATTTAATGATCGCTGGCTTCAGAATCTCTCCTTTAACATTCCCCTCTGCTCGCGTGTGTGCGCGTGATCGCTCCCTTTCCCCGGTCGTCATCTTACATAACCAGGATGATTGCTGAACAGATGCCGCAGCTGTCACATTATGTGCTGGATCTGAGAGCCATAGCTCGGCTGGAGACAGGACCTCGCGTGGATGACATCTCCAACTACTCAGCTAGATGTTCAGCACAGAGCTAGTGATCCCAACATCTTAAGTTTCAAAGAGCACCTGTACTGCTGGAGAAAATAATAGGCAGGAAGGCAGTGTCTTTTTTTTTCTCCCCTTCAATTATGGAGGACTTAGCATAGTTTGGAATGGTGCTGTTAAAGCTAAACCTCCGGCACACAAACTTTCATATATTCCTCATAGACACAAAGGATATCAATCCACTTTGTGTGCAACAAATACCTTTGCAAACCCAGATGTTACCTTGTATATGTAGTGACCGGTCTTTATTGAAGGAGGGGGCGGACACAAGACCAGTCACCCTGCACAGGTAGGGAGAGCAGCAGTGAGTGGTCTTTATTACAGGAGGGGGCGGAGACAAAGCCATTCACCCTGCCAAAGTTGAGAGAGCAGCAGTAAGCGGTGTTTATTACAGGAGGGGGCGGAGACAAGACCAGTCACCCTGCACAAGAAGAGAGAGCAGCAGTGACCGATCTTTATTACAAGAAGCTCCAAGTCTTGCACTGGATCACTGCACAGATCTGGAAGAAATACACATGGCTCTTGTATTTCGCATATTTTCTAATCCCAGAGTTCAGCTCTAAACTGCTGTACCAAAGTTTATGTGAAATGAATTGCTAAAATCTCATTTAAGCTTTGACTTGTTACTGTTTCAATGAAAGCTGCAGATTTCAAAATATGAAAAATTATTTTGGAAACATTACTTATTGGTCTGGGCATAATGATCCTAAGTTCAGATATTTCCGGTTAGAGAATGACAATGCTTGTGCCCGTTTTGCAATTTTGCTCCTACGTTGTCACCCTGTGAAACTAGCTTTTGATGGGGACTGCAGTTGGCCGTTTTAATACAAATTACACACTGGTTTTCTTGGGTAATAAATGTAGTTGCTTGTAATGCATTGTGTGATACAAACGAATGCGTCTTTATTTTTCTTACAGGGTCCAGCGCGGGTAACGTCAGATCCCTCAGCCACTCCCACGACCGGTTACAGCTCCGTGGTCCAGAAACCAGAAGCGGTAGTTCATGCGATGAAGGTACCTAATTGGAGGACAAAAAAAATAGATTTAAAAGAAGAAAATAAAAAAAAAATTAAAAAAAAATAGTTACTATTAAAGAAGCAGCAGAAATCCAGTTAAAGTGACATTAAACCCTCAGATTTTTGAACATAAACCAATACTGTAATGTGCGCCTTACTGTAATCCATGGTAGTTTCCCTTCTCTTTGCTGCTCTTCCTTTTAAATCCTCATGTCTTCTCATGCTTGGGGAGAACTTCCCTTTGCAGCTGACTGCCTCTTCCTGTAGTGCTGGCTCAGGTTGTGAACCTGCACACAGACACCATGTAGCCATTCCAGAGACAAGGCAGTCTGCTGCAAAACAGAAGTTCTCCCCCAGCATGAGAAGAGATACGGATTTAAAAGGAAGAGCAGCAAAGAGAAGGGAAACAACCATGGATTACAGTAAGGTGCACATTACAGTATTGTTTTAGGTTAAAAAAAACTGAGGGTTTAATGTCACTTTAAGTTGTATCTTGAAGCTGGTGCAATTCCTGTCTGACAACTTCTATGAGATCTTCTAACTTTTGTGCATAAATGTCTGTTAAGAGCACCAAACACAGAGGGGGGAATTCAATAAAGGCTTTACCCCACTTGTCTGACCTTTTAAAAGGTCCTGCATCAAATTCCAAAAATCCCTGTCGCCAGTTTCGGCAGCTTTACTGACACTTGCAGATTCTGTGAATTCTTAATAGTGTCACTCTTACAAAGTAGTGCTACGGCTGTGCTAAATTAAAAAAAGAATTACCTCCACTTCATGGCTAACGAAACTGTTTGCCTACACTACCCCTTTGTCACTGGTTAAGGACGTTGTCGGCTGCAAATGATGCCGACAGTGAGCAGAACCTGATTGGAAGCCTGAGGGACTAGTTCCCCATCAGCTCCACTCCACTAATTGATAGCAAGCAGTGGATAGATTCCATAGCCAATAGATAGTCTGCTGTTGTCTATGGATTCTGCCCCTACTGCCTGCTGTCAATCAGTAGTAGAGGGGGACCTGATGGGGAACTATAAGTACTTATCCATGTTGCACTCCTTACTGAAAGTCCCTTGT